GGCCTCACTAATCCTACTTGCCGTAGGCGGTTTAAAAAAACTTTTACAATGAAAATAGAGGCGGGGTTCAACGTGCCTCCACTTTCGATAAGCGTATGAGAGAAAAAAATTACTTAGGCAAATAGGATAGAGGAGTAGAGTAGGCCGTTTCAAATGTGATAATAAAATATGTTTATAGTTCGCTTGTTGTCGCTAATGTGCATAACATGAAATCTCGCGATAAATCATCAGTTTGCGTAGGGCCCCGACACCTCAGCGGCTAAAATTGGATTCTAATGATGGTTAGTAACCAACGAAACAGGATCATTTTAGACTGAGTACGTCCACATGGCTTCCATGGTTTGAATGACTGGTGTTTTATTCCAGTGCTCCGTCCAAACTTGGAGTATTGGCGAGGGATGACCGAACACGAATCTCAGTCTTCTGTAGCCTCTTTCAGTTGATGTTCAATAAATAAATAAATCTCCCATTCACTCCTAAACCGAGAGTAGTATTAAAATCCGGAAACGCTTGCACTAGAACATAATTTCTACTTCTTACCCTTATTGATGACGACAGAATAACTGCGACTCAAACTTGACACGTCAGCCAGGTCAGATAGAATTCATCCACTCGACCTTGCGGAATTGGCTGATGAAATCGAACGGCTTAATTAATAGACTATCGAGGCACGACCTGTGGATAACTAAATTAATTTATCGACTATGGACGAACAGCTGAGTTTGATTATTGATTCCTGTACGCTCTCCTGTGAAAAACGAGCGACCGGATCGTTAGACTACAAAATGATTAAACACAGTGTTTCAAGAAAATATGACCTGCTTACTTGTACTGGACACTGACAAACGGGCGATCAATGAGAGTTATTCCGCGTCAGCCCGTCGCTGTAGGGACTGTGAGGATCTTTACCAGCGAGGCCACATTCACGAAAAGAAGCAAGAGTAACTGACTGATATCGTTATGGCTTTTCCGGAGGACAGGAAAAGAAAAATACTATATGTTTCGTCAATTCCTCATACGAAAAGTACCGCATATCCTCACAGAGGAAAAAAATTACAAGAACTGCAATATCAACCAGGAAGAGAAGGTGAGTTACGTGTCCTGGGAGAACTCCAGAGAAACCAGCTGCGTAGCATGACGAAACAGCAAACTTTGTCAAGCTTCACTAATCGCTTTGGTAATCAAGCCTAACAACTCAGCGGACACTAAAGAAGGAAACGCCATGATAAACCTCAAACGAACTGTTATAAACTTCCGGAGGGGTGTGCCGTTAATTTTGGAAGGGCACGCTATCACTCCATCGCATCAAAAGGCGAATTCAGTCAAAGAGAGCACACAACCGTCTGTTGATAGAGCTGAACACACCAACTCCGCGTAAAGAGCATTGTAACGGGAAAGTGACTGGAAAAGTTCTCAGGCCACAGCAAAGGAAAATAAGGTAGCGATTTATCGTAAGGTCGCCCAATGGCAAAAGTCTCCTAGCCGAAATGTCTGACAGAATTCATGGTAAGGGGTTTAATGCAGTTAATGCCTGGGTAGTGTGTGGTAAGTGCACAATAGAAAGTAAATTAAAGCCGCGGGTAATTGTTTTACTTGACTAAAGTATAGTTAAGAAGGTTGCGAAAAGAAAAAAGACATAAAAAACTATAAGAGCATCTCATATTGGTTAACAAATGAAGCCTGTACATCAAGAAAACTGCTAGAGCAAATTGAATTACCATTAGGCGGCTCCAATATTTGGCATTTATATTTGTTAGCTCCAGGAGGGCACTATAAATACATTTCTGCGAAATCATTGATTTCCTTTAACACCCAGGGATCGCTGGTCGTCGAAATTCTGCGAAAATTCCCATTTTATAAATAAATTGTGTGAAGTGGATCCGACAAAGCAAAGGGAGGCCGGAATGGCCATTTCTGGCTTACTAGCCGTGATCAGCCAGTCATACCCAATCAAATCTCGGGGGTGCCAACCCTCGACTGTGTACAACTGTGTCTGATATTTGGATTGTAACACACCTATGTTTGTCGATTACATTAAAATCTGGGGTTTAATCCGGGGGCCAGCTGACGAAGATAGACCGCAGATCAACTTAAACAAATCGGAAGAGTGGTAGAACCGCTAGCTTCTGCGGTTCAACGTCCATAAGTGAACGATACTCCGTCTAGGCCATTCTGTTGGAGCTATTCCGTCAACGGTGCAGCTCTGCAATATGTCGAAACCCAAAATAACCTCCGTGTGTTGGTAATACCATCCTCTCATTGCTCGAGAGTAGCGAAGAGCGCACTATCGCAACCGACGTGGTTTCATCTTCAGTTTATTGAGAGAAAGAGGCATGGGGCTTTGAGCAGCGTAAAAATTCAGTGCATCTGTTGGAAGGGCATTCCAGGGCTTGACAGCTCTGATAACGATGGATAAATTGCGCACCTCTAGCTTTGCCTGATGAACGCACAGTTTAAATGTGTGACCTCGGGGATTGGTCGTTATACAAAATTCAAAAAGTTCCAAACGTCAGGCAACAATCCAATGTCCTCACAATGTGGAACGCCTGTAGCAGATCCCTGCGAAATTGCCTATACCCCAAACGAATCAGATTAAGGTTGAATAAGCGGGTTGCATATGGGAGGGTTCTCAGAATCCTATCCATTTTGGTGGCTCTCCTTTAAAAAGTGACAAGAATGGTCGTTTCTGGCTTCTTTGCTGTCATCAGCTAGTCATTGCCAGGTCCAGGCGTGGATCACCAGATATTCGAACCCACGACCCTTTGGTCATGAACAGTAACACCCTAGCATCAAGCTACAGACTCGTTGGCTTTGTCGGTTGCGATCGGTTCCAATTCAGAGATTTACAGATATCTTTCATTAACCGTAAACTGCACTGTAACCATATCTGCAAAGTCCCAGTTCGCGATAGCCATGAAAATCCATTTTAACTGGGAAATTTATTCGAACTTGCTTGATCAACCGCAAAAGTTTAGCAAATGAAAGCATTTTTTTTGTAGGAGACGGTCCGGACATTGAGCACCTCATCGACATACATGCCCAAACTTCATCATATCTTTGCTCTTAAACTGCAATTTGACTTCAAAAATGGTGACGATCGGTTGTCTTAGAAGTAACCGGGAAAACAATCCCTACCTTATATAACTTTTATGCAAACATATATTGATAAACTCAGTAATTACCGAATGTGTACCTAGTCGACTATAGTTTTCATTCACGGGCCAGGTTACTTACTTGACTGAGATATTCTGCAATCATTTTAATTACTTAAAGGAAATCCCTTCACTATTTAGGCGACCAAATAGTTATAAGTGCCTTCCCTAACTTGAACATTCCCAAGAAGTTAATTCCTCATATACGACATATCACCCTGCTAACTGTTAGAGAAATTCCAACTTAAGGCTATTTATTTAGGCAAGGAGCACTTATTTGTATGAGAGGGGAGTCAACAGCCTGTGAACTCGGACCTTACCGCCACATAAGTCACCCCTGTAAAATAATCTTGTTAAGTTACATACCTATTGCTTTGACGAGGTAAAGTGCGTCAAACTTGAAAACCTTACATATTCTCGGTAAGGCCTTTCCTATCTTCGCGGTTCAAAGTATGTGATCTGTTTGTCTCGTTTTATTTATTATTTTCTGTTAATAAAAAACAGTATCTACACTCCTGTCTTCAAAATTTTGAAATTATATTACCTACAAAGTCATTTTTGAGTTGCATCACGTGAAAACTTGAATTTACATGTCATCAATGTCATATGCAATATAATTCATGTTTTCTCATGTCATTAAAAACGTGTATCCTATATTGAAAACCTCGAATCGTTTTGTTTTTTTAACTGACATTCATTATTATCTAATGCCATGGCCAGGTTGTCAGATTGTCCAGTTATTTACTTTTTACTAAATAACTCGACACAATCTTACTCATAACTGTATAACTCAGAAAGTACCTGTCTTCTTAGGTCTTTTTTTGCTAAATTTAATACCTTGCTATCGATTTTCAGTTTATTAACCGTTGTATAT